TGTGTTTTACTGATTACGAAGCATATGGTTCGCGGGAAGATGAAAATTACGTTAGTTGAATTTCTATTGCATTGACTAGTGCAAATTGTTGTTTCTTTCACACTTATTTAATAGTGAATATTTAAATTAATACTTTTTAATTAATATGAAATTGAATGGGACATTGAAAAAAACATGACTGTACATAGAAAATGAGAAAATAAATGTATTTGTGGTACAAGAAATTTCAAATTTTCAATCTCTTTTATGAAAATAAACTAAATTCATTAATTGTATACCTTGTGTTTTATTTTTGGTTTTTTTATTTATCTTTGGCGTTCGTTTATTTAATGTCGAAAAGAATGAAGTAACATAAATTTTTCAAATATTCATAGTAAATTCCCAGTTATTGAAGTGATGAATATCTCTCCTTTGTATTACTGAGAATGAATTTGTATACAGCAATATAAGAAAATCTACAAAAAAATATATGAAATGAAAATTGAAGCTTAGGATTACAGGCAAATGGAATTAAAATTGAAAATGTTACTTACAAGTACGTACCATAGCCTTAGGCAGGCGCGGATCCACTGGGAAGGAAATGAGGGAAATTTCCCCTCCCCAAAATCATTTTCAGAAAATATTAATTTTATCTTGGCACGAAATGTTCAAGTAAAAATATTTTCGTATAGATATTAAAACGTATAAAACCAGCCTGATGACCGAGATTGCGAAGGCAGTAGTGCCGTAACGGTCCCGGACCAGAAGATCACTGGTTCGAGTCCCGCCTCGGGCATTGGGGAGTTTGTGTACGTCTGTATGAGTGTATTGTCTTTTCACTCCTCACTATCATTATCATTTCATCTTCCATACCCCCGGGCTAACAACTCTGGAGGATAAAAATCGGATCTAGCTAAATGCTGATCCCATGATAAAATTACATGCGTCTGCCACCGAGATAATGTTACTGAGCCCCGGTAAATGCAGGGTGCATGCACGCGCGGTTCAAGTCGGCCTATTCGCGAGCAAAAAAAAAAAAAAAGAATAAAATTGTATAGTAATATGAGCTGAGTTTAGCCTGCGTCATTCTACATAATTTGTAATACAAAACATTCGACCAAAACATTTCGAATAAAAAAATTTCCCCTCCCAAAATTTGTCTCAGGATCCGCTCCTGCATTGCATAATAAAACTATTTCCATAAATATGTACCATAAAATTCGTGGAATTTTTTAGGAAGAGACATTTCAAGTCATTTGCCAGTCCTATACATGATGCAACAGAAAATCAATTTTATTTATGATTGAATTACGAGTATAAGTGTTATAATTTCTTCCTCTCTTTTATTTATTAGCCTGTAAAATATGTTTGAAAGCATGAAAAAGGGGCTTTAGGAACGTAGCTGTACCCTGTTGTTTTAGTCTGCGCACACCTACGTTTAATCATAATAACTATTATTAATAATCATAATTAAATACACCTACAGGTTGTTAGTAAGTTCATGCTCCAATTAAGCCTTCATTTTCTGATCTCCACATTTTAATCACCACATCAGAGAAAGGAATTCTCTGTACAACTATTTTAATAACAATTATAACGGTAGTAAAGAGGTGTAGCTTAGAAAGCGGTTTTCAACTATATCGAGGAAGAAACAGTAAAAATGCTTTAAAAAAATACTAATGAAAGAAAGGTGAAGGACGTTTCGTTAGTAGCAGTTACAAAAAGCTTAAAGGGAGATACAACATCGTCTAAACCCACGTGGGCATCTGCGTTCGATTCGATTCCTGATTCGCCTAGTTAATTCACGCTGCAGGCGGATTGTGCTCGACATGCTGGTAACGTACGCGTCCGCTTTGCTCCAGGCTACACTCCCCGATCCCCGTTGACGGAGGAACACGTCCAGCTACAAGGTAGCAGCGGAGCCTTACAGACGCCTACTGCTGGAGTTCAGGGCTGGAGTGAAATCGTAAGGGCACGAGCGAAGTACGGAGCTCATTCATAAAATTTAAATATTCAACATTTGATCAAAAAGCATATAAAAATGACTATAACTTTCACAATTAACATTTTTCTTTATTTATTTCTTTCTCTTTTTCTTTCTTTTTCTTTATTTCTTTCTTTTTCTTTATTTCTTTTTCTTTATTTCTTTCTTTCTTTTTCTTTATTTCTTCCTTTCTTTTTCTTTATTTCTTTTTCTGTGTTATCATGTACATTACTAATTTCGTATGCGCACAGTAATTGAGAGATCACTAACCAGTCTATGGCCATGTGAGAGATGTCAATGGTTTCATTACATATCCAGTAGTCGGAAAAAATCAAAAACAATAAAACAGATACAATTTTCACTACAAAATACAAATATTTAATTGTTATTCCGACTATTTTCATACTGCTAAGTGCATAGCTGACGTCATGTGTCACAAAGACTCCGAAGTAGAGCCCGCCCCTATTAAACATTCTCCGTGGTACGTTATGAAACTGCAGCTATTGGTATATTTTTGGTACCTCTAGATCTATTGTACTGTATAAATACAGAAAAGTACCCGAAACCGGACTTCCATTTTTTTCGAATACTTTTAAATCCAGTTTTCTGCATAGTGAAATCAAATTATTTCCATTGCACATCTGAGTCGGTTATTCAAATGCTATATTCAACATAAAACTATTGCCAAAGTAGTTTAAGAGAAATATTTTTTTCATAAACATCACATTTTGTGGATTTTTAAAAAGAGCTTCATAATATACGCCCCCCACAAATGTTTTAAGAAATGAGTAAAAATAAATAAAAAATCTGTTAGAGTCAACTCAGTGTTATTTTACAAAAATTTAAGGGTGTGTTTCTATACTAACTAGAATCAATTTACTCTTTGTCGTCCTCGCTACGCTACGAACACGACTCGTGCGTGAATCAACTGTTTAGCGTCATTTGTACTTACATTACTATTACATATATTTGAACTATTATAAAATGTTTTAAAATTATTGGAGACCTAATATTTTAGAGACTACACGTCACGAGCTCTGCTCCTGAGTAGTCTGCGTGTGGCTTTTCGGAAACTTCTAATGCTCACGAAATGTTACAGTGATTTTATGAAAGTATACTCATTTTTAATAATCTCTTATCTACAGAGAGCTGTAGTTCCAGCATCAAGCTTTTTGTAGCAGTTTTTTTTGTTTTATCTGCTCCTGGCAGACGCGTTCTACATTAGCACTAATTCACTCGTGTGCGTTGGCGAGGGTAAAATGCTAATTCCATACATTAGCAAAGTTTTAGCAAATTATAATGTCCTAACGTTATCGGAAATTCAAAGCTCTCTCTCATTTTCTTAAAACTTTTATTTAAACGTTTATTTTTTTAAACTTTTATTTTACAAAACTAAACTATTTCGATTACACATTGTTGAACATGCTAGGATAAATGAACACTATTTTATGGTAGCATCTTAGCCGCCCTTGTCTGCGTTACCACACAATCTTATTATTTTTTCAAAAAACTTCTTAGTGGGTTCTCTCTCCTACAAGACGACGAATCCCTTTGCTTTCCACCGCTTCATTAATCTCATCACCATTAATTTGACAGTTGTAGCCAACAACTAGCCTGAACACGAAGACTTTCACGTCCGCAATCATGATTTTGTTCTCTGTTGTCTTGGCGGTACGCAGCATTGCACACTTGTTGGCTGCTTCGATCATTGTTGGCTGCTTCGATCATTGTTGGCTGCTTCGATCATTGTTGGCTGCCTTCGATCATTGTTGGCTGCTTCGATCAATTGCTGTGTATGTTGCTGCTTCGATCATTGTTGGCTGCTTCGATCATTGTGGCTGCTTATCGAGTGTTCGATATTGTTGGCTGCTTCGATCAATTGTTGGCTGCTTCGATCATTGTTTGGTGCCTTCGATCTTTGTTTGGCCTGCTTCGATCTTTGTTGCTTGCTTTCGATCTTTGTTGGCCGCTTCGATTCTTTGTTGGCTGCTTCGATCTTTGTTGGCTGCTTCGATCTGTGGCTCTTCTTTGTGTGTCGATCGTTGCGCTTCGATCTTTTGTTGGCTGCTTCGATCTTTGTTGGCTGGCTTCGATCTTGTTGCTGCTTCGACAATTGTTGCTGCTTCGACTCATTGTTGGCTGCTTCGATCATTGTTGGCTGCTTCCGATCATTGGTTGCTGCTTCGACTGTGGCTGCTCGATCATGTTGGCTGCTTCGATCATTGTTGGGCTGCTTCGATCATTGTTGCTGCTTCGATCATTGTGTGGCTGCTTCGATCATGTGTTGGCTGCTTCGACATTTGTTGGCTGCTTCGATCATTGTTGGCAGTGCTTTCGCATCATTGTGGCTGCTTCGATCATTGGCTTGTATGTTTGGCTGCTTCGAATCATTGTTGGCTGGTCGATTTCGATTGTGCTTGCTCTTCGATCATTGTTGGCTGCTTCGATACATTGTTGGCTGCTTGCCGATCATTGTGGCTGCTTCCGATCATTGTTGGCTGCCTTCGATCATTGTTGGCTAGCTTCGCATCATTTGCGTGTGCTTCGATCATTTGTTGGGCTGCTTCGATCAATTGTTGGCTGCTTCGATCATTGTTGCGCGTGCTTCGGATCATTGTTGCTGCTGTCGATCATTGGTTGCGCAATGCTCTTCGATCATTGTTTGGCTGCTTCGATCATTGGTTGGTCCTGCTTCGAGCATTGTTGGCTGCTTCGCATCATTGTGTTGATTTGGCTGCTTCGATCATTGGTTGCTGCTGCTTTTGCTGACTTCGATCTTGTGGCTGGCTTCAGATATTGTTGGCTGCTTCCGATATATGTTTGGCTGCTCTCGATCATTGTTGGCTGCTTCATCAATTGGTTGGCTGCTTCGATCATTGTTCGGCTGACTTCCAGATCACCTACCTGGATGGCCTGACATTACTCGACTCGATTGTTAATGGGCTGACCTCTACCGATTCAGTTGGCTCGCTATACGATCATATATGCTCTGTGCATATGCTTCTCACGACTTCATTGTTGCCTGTCGTTAGTATTCATGTTGGCTGTGCTTCGATCATTGTTCCGGCTCGTGCTCTTATCTCCTCCTCCTGTTAGAGCTGCTGCGATTCATTGTTTGGACTGCTTGGGATCACCCTAGTGTCGGGCTCTGCTCGGATAGCATTGTTGGAGCTGCTTTGGATCATCACTCTCTCTCGCGTGCTTGAGGATGATCATTGTTGGCTGCTTGGATCGATTTTGTTGGCTGCTTGGATCATTGTTGGCTGTTGGGATCATTGTTTGCGGCTGCTTCGATTCATTGTGGTGCTTGGATCATTGCGTTGGCTGCTTCGAGCATTGATTGCTGGCGATCATTCGTGGCATCGTGGTCTTCTTGAGGATAAAAAAAAAGCAATGTGATTGCCCTAGTCGAGGGGCATTTTGGACTTGAGATAAACACAAAACGGAGAATGGTACCACTACACGGCTCAAGAAGCTGTGCATGCGCTGTGTCGGAGCCCATGAAATTCAAAATATGACGTACAGTGACTGCAAATCCTGCTTCTATCTGTATTTATTTTGCGCTCTACGAGTCGCGAGTGTACGTCGCGAAATCAACGCTAACCGCAGTCAGCGCCGAATCTCAAATCGCAGAGCTACATCCATACCCTTCTATTTCCGACATCGCACCGCCCCTTCAACATTTCCCAACTCAATTTTTTTTCCGCCCCACTGTTCAACATCCACACACCTTTACTTCAGCATCAACATCCCCTTTTACATCAGATCACACATCCCCTTTTACATCAGCATCCACATCCCCTTTTACATCAGCATCCACATCCCTCTTTTACTCAGCAAATCCACATCCCCTTTCACTTCTATCATCCACATACCCCATCCCCTTCAACATCCACCGCCCTCTCGTTCCGCCCCTTGACGGAACCCGGCATTGGCTTGCGGCAGCGCGGCGGCGGCCGTGGGCGCTGTGGGCAGTTGCGCCGAGGCGCCACAGAACCGGATTCTAGTCGCCGTCCGGCCGCGCGCGCCTCGCCTGCACTGCGTTCGTCGCGCCCGCCATATCGTAAATCACCGGACCGGCCGCGCCGCGCCGCGCCGCGCCACGTCGGTGCGCCTGTGCGACGCCCGCCGGCCCGGCTGCACATCACGCACGCAGCGCGCACACAGTTTTATACGCCTCCTCTGAGGACTGGTTTGTTGTTTTATATTCAAGCTTCCAGATATCGGAGTAGAGTTTATTATTATTGATTATTATTATTATTATTTATTATTATTATTATTTATTATTATTATTATGTATTATGTTATTATATATTGCTTATTATTTATTATTATATTATTATTATTATATTATTATTATTATATTATTATTATTATATTATTATTATATTATTTTTTATTATTATTATTATTATAAAAATATATTGAAAAACGCATTTTCAATAAATGATTCTTTTTTTTGTCACTGAAGTGTTCATAACTAAGCCATTCATTATCCTTAAAAGTACCCCCTACTTTTAAGTAAGTACCCCCTAGTTTAAAATGAGAGGTAGGAATTATTTATTTTTTTCTCATTTGTAACCCACAAAAATGATTTTGTACTGTTGTTAAAGGGCCGAGCCTTGCCTCTGCAACCGCAGATGATTGCGTCCGGTATAACAGCAGGAAACCTTATATTCTACAATTTCAATAGTATTTGTCTTCAAACTACTTACGACTCATTGATCTCTATAATCGTGTAATTCAAAATACTGACAAAACATTGACTTAGATATTATACAAGTGCCTAACAAATCCTAAATGCGTTTAGTAATACCAAACTAAAACACAAAAAACTCCAGATTGCTTATTTCTTGAAATTCAGACTGTTTCATCGCAGTACATATAAACACGCAAATAAATAAGAGAATGCCATCCAATCCGGTATTGATTCCAGTTTTATTAACATAACTGAGTTTAGAAGACGTCATCTGTGTTAAATTTGTGATTAAAAAATTAAATCATTCTCATGTTCAATAGATAAGTGGATTGTTTACTTTGAACATTGAAATTAATAATGCAGTGTAGTTTTGGGATGTGTATCGTAGTTAAATTGAATTCTCATTCAACGACATTCGACGCCGATTGGCTTGCGTGTCTTAAGTGGATTCAATTCTTAAGGTAATTCAATAACGCAAAAGAAATAAAATACATACTGTCAATAAACACGATCTTCACCTGTTTTCCTTATCGTCGTCTGCCTTGTTTAACTGATAAAATTATTTTTATCTAGAATTTTCACGCACGGTTTAACTGACTCTTAACTTAATTCCATCTCGTTATCACATTTTGTTTCATTTCTTCCTTGTCTTTATTTTTTTAATTTTGTAACTCACTTTTTCATTTTCTAGCATAATTCTTATTTTTTAAATATTGAAACGAACATTTAAGAACTAACATTTTGTTTGATAACAGAATCATGCCCGAATTTTGTGAAATGTTATTTTTTTCAAGCGGAAAGATTACTTAAAAACAGTTGAAAATTATATTTTTTCATTTGGCTACAGTTCTATGAGTAGTTTAATAATTGCATGTTATTACATTGTTACTTCGTTGCTTAGCGTCAACCATATCGTAAATGCATGTTTTTCTTCCGTTCAGCCTAAATGCGTTTCAGATTTTCTAAACATTATTTCTTGTACATTTCCGATGCCCTGCACTACAGACTATCTGCCATTATTTAAATTAGTTTTTGTTTTCAAAAGTAATTTTTTTAAAATATGTAAGTGATAACATTAATTTATAATGTGAAAGTTAAATTTATATTCTATTCGGATCGTCTGAAGGTGTCGTTGGGGAAATGAGAGTTGGTACGCAAATGTTCGACTCCGGTTTACCAAATTACAAATAGTACGTGCATAAGGGGACGAAGGGAGTGCAAAAAAATCAATTTGAGTACCGTACATCGCTTGAAAAATTTGATCCTCCTTACCTAAACACGTTTATATTCATTAACGAAAATTATACTTCTCTACAGTGTGATTTTTTGCGATGGTGTCGAGGCAATCCAAAGATACGAAAGATCAAGAGAAAAGGAAATAAGTTTGTGAGCGCCTGCAGGAGTGACTGCCTCCAGACGGATCCATCAGGATATGCGTGGGGCAGGTGCATTAGTCAGTGGCGGCGCGGTTTTCTAGGCCTTGCCCCTCCGCCTGCACCTCCGCCTCCGCCACCGCCACTGCCTCCGCCACCGCCTCTTGGCGGCGCCCATGCAACAAACGGGCAGCGGCCTTTGCGCCCATGCATCTTCTTAGGAACGCACTCCGCCTCTTCCCATCCCCTTCCCCCTCGGTTTCCTTCGCGCTTTTCCCTCCCTTCCACCTCCCATCAACTCCCTCTTTCCACTGTCTTCCCCGTCATTTTCACTCTTCCTTCCCCTTCACATTTCCTCTCTCATTCCACTCCCTCTTCCTCTCTTTCTTCCTTCCCTTCCTCTCTTTCTTCCTTCCCTTCCTCTCTTTCTTCCTTCCCTTCCTCTCTTTCTTCCTTTCCATTCTCTCTTTCTTCCTTTCCTTTCTCTCTTTCTTCCTTTCATTTCTCTCTTTCTTCCTTTCATTTCTCTCTTTCTTCCTTTCATTTCTCTCTTTCTTGAAATGACATTAACGTTCACAATTAAAAAATGTAAGGTATGTACGATAAATATCAGATGAATTAAATGAATGTTCAAATTGTAATAAAAGATATTGGATGCGTTGGGTCCCATGAAACACAGTGGGCCCTGGGCTTTGCACCGCCTGCTCCCCCTCCCCACGGGCCGGACCGGCTCCCGTACACAGCGCCTGTTCGCGCATGCGGCTCCCCGCGCATTACGCGCGCCCCTTGTAAGGGCAGGCGCGCCGGGCGCTCTCTCGCACGCTTGGGTGGCTGGGGCTCCGTCGACCGGTCGCCAGCGCTGCTTTTTTACTTTCGCGCGCGCGCGGCCATACGCACCGAGAAACGCCCGACTGCATCCCGCCGACAGTTTTCCCTCAACCCCGCTTCCCGGGTTTTCGTTACATGAGAAGGCATAGCCCGACAGCATTGTGTTTCGTTCATCCGGTGTTTTTAAGGAGTAAATTTTTTGGGGTAAGTTTTCATTCATAAGTTAGACAATGTTCTCACACTAGTTCAGAGAAAATCTCGAAAATAGATGTACATGGTAGAATCTTCAAAGTTGTGTATTTCAGTTCAACAGGGTAAGGTGATATTCGTGAGAGGAGGATTCAAGTTTTGTTTCCAGAAACGTTTATGTGTGGTTTTAAACGCCGGCAGTGCTCTTGAACGACATCCTGTATTTTTAAGGAATAAATTTTGTTTGGTAAGTTTTCATTCATAAGTAAAACAATGTTCTTGCACGAGTTCAGAGAAAATCTCAAAAATAGGTGTACATGGTAGAATCTTCAAATGTAAGTCATCAGGGTAAGATGATGTTCGTGATGGGAGAATTCACGTTTGGTTTCCACAAACGTATATGTGTGGTTTTAAATGTCTGCAGTGCTCTTAAAGTATGTGCAAATATATTTTTGAAAACAGAAGTGGATCAATATAATTCTAAGCCAAACACGATAATAGTAGGAATCAATTCTTATCCTAAGGGGGGGAAACAGAACGAGATGCTGTCAGGTTATGCCGTTTTGGGGAGGTACTAGGTAAACAGCTGAGGTTGTTCCTACGATGCATTCGGTATTCGCCCTACGCGCCAAAGGCGCGCATTAGGTAATCGCCGCGGACGTCTCGCTTACTTAAGGAACAAACGGACGGAAACGGTAGAACAGGTTCGCTGTTGCCGCTAAACCGGAAAATGTATGGTTCTCGGAATCTCTCCATTGTTTTTATCAATTCGTTTGAATGCCTCTTCGATGTTGACATTTTGTTCGATTTGTCAGATGAGGGGAAATAACTATGCGACAAATAATTGTTAACTATTGTTGAATTACATGGAGATTGTAATATGTTGTCCGAAAATGGAAATGCAACGATTTGCAAACATCATAATAAAAATTTGGAAATAAAATATAAGTTGCAAAAATTGTTTAATAAATATTTGTCGGTAATATTAAGGAAACATATGATTATTATGGAGGATGAAACTGATCTTATTGGAGAAATAGAGAGTGTGTCTGTAGGAAAATATGACAACGTTTCTGCTACGTTGCAAATACTATGCTTAATTTCCTGAATATTTTCCATTGCATAATCGCAAAATGTTTACCATTGTTATGTTATATATATATTCCACTCATCGTTGTGGTTGAGAACCACGCGAATACATTATTTGGTGACATCACAACTGTTGTTTAATCGTAATGTATCGATTCATAAATATTAGAGTTAATACTTTAATGTGGCTTACACACATGTCAATACAAGTGTGAGGAACAGTGTCTGGAGATTCGATAGAGAAACAGGTCACAATTTTCATTCACAGAAAGAGTATGGCTTTACCACTAAGATTGTTCAGTATTTTGTAATCGATTACTGTGGCCTTAGTCTTGAAGATGATGGTAGTTTTTAGAAATACTGTTGAACATGGAAGTAGACAAACATTTTACCTCTCCCACGTTGAGACTGATCGGAGGAGAGAGTTTGATCACAATCTTCAGTGACGTGAGGTTCCAGAAAAGTCCTAAGACGCCGTCGTAGTCTTCGCGCCTTTTCGCCTTCCTGTGAGGCATAAAAAGCGTTCGTTTGCGCCGTAAAAGATCGCGAAGGCGTCGCGCTGAGCTATAAAACGGCTCTCAGGATTCGCCGTCACCTCGCTTCCATCTCCCCCATTGGCTGTATCACCTCGTCAGCAACAATGCTGTGTATGTGATGCTGTAGTCTGCGCCGTGAACACTCCTTCAGTTCGTCCGTCTCTTCTCTTCCGTCGAAGGGCTCGTTTCCTTTCTTTCCCTTCCTGTTCCTGTGTCTCTCCAAATCCTCTCACTACGTCTCCACCTGTCTAACTGCACTCGCTGCTTACTCCACGGCAATCTCTTTCTCCTTCTATTCCCCTCAACTATATTCTTCACTCCTATCTTTCCCATTTCCTCCGTCCCTCTCAGCCTTCTTTCCACGTCTATCTTTTCTCTCACTATTTTCCTCCACCTCTTTATTTTTTCTTCCGCTTCACTTTTTCCTTTCCTCTTCACCTCTCTCTCTTATTTCCTCTTCACCTCTCTCTTATTTCCTCTTCACCTCTCTCTCTTATTTCCTCTTCACCTCTCTCTCTTATTTCCTCTTCACCTCTCTCTCTCTCTCTTATTTCCTCTTCACCTCTCTCTCTTATTTTCTTTCCGCTTTTCTCTATCTGTGCTTTTCTCTCCGCCTCTCTTTTCTTTCGCATTTTTCTTTCCTTCCGCACCTCTTCTTCTCATCTCATCTCTTCTTATATTTCTCATCTTCTCCTTCCGCCCCTTCTTCTCCCGTCCGACACTTCCTCTGCTTCCTGCTATTCCTCTGTGTCGTCCACAATCAACCACCTGGAACTCCTCCTACCTCCGCTTCTTCAATCGCAGTGGCCATTTCCGCCGCCACGGACTCTTGCCAGCGCCGCAGCTGTTTTACGACGGCGGTGGGGCGGCGCGCGAGCGATTGAAAGCGAGGGCCGTAAACGGGTAATCCGGTAGAAAGGATTGCATCGCTTCGGGCTAGCGAGTCGGCACAGTTCCCCCGCAAGCCGTGCATCTCGCCAACACCATCTGGCTCGCCACACGATTTTCAGTACTTCTGATAATAACATTCACCTACATCAGAAAACAGAGTAGCCACTGGTGCAATAATATATTGTAGGAAAATGGTTTCATTTCTGAACTAATTTTTTTTTTTCTTTTGTGTTGAACGCCTTTGTATTCTTTTCAGAAATAGTACACTAATAGTACATGAATATGGTAGTAAGATATAAAATTACGATTCAATACACAAGGAATCGTATTATCTCTCCATGTATTTTATGGATAATTTTATAGGCCCTTGGATCATCTGATTTGAAAGCAGATTGCAGGTTGTAAATGAATAATTTCTCTTGATGTACGCTCATCTTATGCAATCATCTTTCGTGCGTGTGAGAAATGTCGCAAGAAGGTTATAAACAACCAACCATCCATCTAATATACATGTTACACACATGGAAGCGGGGCAGTTTCAAAAGGTTTTACAGCTGTTTTACGCTCTCATTGTGAATACGTAAAAAAGTAATTAACATCAGCTTTTTCCTCGAGCTCTTCCTTGACATTTCTGCTGTTTCGATGTGTTGTTAAGTTATTTGGAAACATAATACCAGCCCGATTCTTTACAATTTATCTGTGGTTGCTTCCTGAACGTAAATCCATTATAAGTATGTGAGAGTATCAAATAAATGTTTACCTAAATTTGTTTTAAATAAAGGGCTTTAAAACTTTTAGGAACATTAAACACATTGTATAGTTCATTAGAGCAAATTATAGTGTGAGTTTTAATTTTATAGTTTCCTTTAATATTCTTTTTTATCATTATCATTAAAAGGTAAAATCCAGTTTGGGAAAAAAGTTGTGATGCATACCAAAATCAGTCTGCAGGACGTTAAATTCACAATTTTCAGTAAATAAGGAAAGTGAAACTCCTTACAATACCAAATGCATGAAATATAAATTTTTGTCTATTAAAATTTTTATTGCTTATTAATTGAAATTGTAGTTCCGTATTCTTCAGTTATTTAAAAACAAATACTCAACAAATGCTCTGGTTAGTCTCAATAAACTCATTCTGAACGTAACGTCTGCTGCACCAAATTTTCTCAATTTTTTTGCAGCTATGGTCCACTTTCGAAGCAGTTTCCTCCTGTTACCCACGTCTCACCCGGACGATGGTAGCTATTTATTCAATTACACTTGTAATCATATCTGGTTTATTTGTAATATTACAGTTGTTAATAAAATTAGATCTAAAGTAATATTCCATGAAGGTTTATACCTTGAGCTAGAAGTCTGGACCGGACGGACGTATGTTTCATCGTAAACCAATTTTTCGTCATCAAGGACAGACCAAACATGGATTCTGACTACGTAGAGTATTGAAGGAAATAATTTACTACATGTTGGAAAAAAATATATTTTTCTTAGGAATTAGTGACCAAGAAAACTGAGTTTATAGTAACGATGATTTCATAATTTTCTCAAAAAATGATCCATTTTTTAAATATATAGACATTATAAAAATCAAATTTAAGAAACTCTGCTTTCAAGCTAAATGCGCAAAATAATTAGTATTTAGATAAATTTGTATACTTATTACTTAAAACTGGGTTAGAAATGAATCATATCATGTTTATAAAATATTTCGCAGTAGAATGGAAGCTAGCAAATGTACAGATTTTATTTAATATTTCGCCTGATGTTATATTGAATGGCTATACCCACAGAAGAACTCTTATGGAAGCGTCCAGATTAGATTTATTCGTACCAACATTGTTTTCTGCGGTGGGTAGTGAAGTGGCCTGAAAGAACATCCAACGAGATTAACGTCTCTCATTTTTGGTATTTTTTATTCTAAAATTTTAATTCTTAATCGATTATAATCTATTAATTAGTATCTATTAAGTATGTTGAAATTAATTATTTTCGTAGTACGGCGTCCGAGAATGAAAACCCTGACAACTGTACATGTTTAGTACAGAATAAATTTTTTAACATTTGATAAATATTTTTAAATCGGTTTAAAGTCGCGGCGAAGCCACATTAAGCTAGTTTTAAAAAAATGCAATAATATGTCATGTATGCATAGGCAAGTAAATATATTTCTGACTATAAAGGCAAATTATGTATTTGCAAGGAAATCCGGTCCCTATTCATGATAGAGCGGCACGAGACACACTCGTCTGTGAGAGCCTCGTGGTTGTGGCCGTCTCGCCTTGCTTGGCCAGGAGGCTCGCCAGTCTCTCTTGCTTGTGTATGGCTACATTTAGCGAGAGCTCTTTTCTGCGAGATTCCGTGGGCATGGCTACCTGCCTCGCTGGTTAGAAGATTTGCAAACAACTCACGTTAGTGTATACCCCCCCCCCTTCAACAAGAGCTCTCGACTGTGAGATCTCTGTGGGCGTGCCCTCCTCGCCTCACTGCCAAGGATGCTTGAAAGACGATCTTGCTAGTGTATGGCCACCTTTAGCGAGAGCTCTCATCTACCAGAGCCCCATGGTAGTTTCCCCCTCGCCTCGCTGCTCATAGGGCTTGCGAGCCACTCCGGCTGGTAAATGACAACCTTCAGCGAGAGCTCTTGCCTGCGAGATCCCCAAGGGCGCGACTGCCTCGTCTCGTCTCGTCTCGTCTCGTTTCGTCTGGCCTCAGTCTTGGAAGTTCGCAAGCCACTCCCACTTGTGCATGGCCACCTTTTAACGAGAGCTGTCGCCGGCGAGATAGGATCCGCCATAGTGACCGCCTCGTCTCTCCTCGTCTCTCCTCGTCTCTCCTCGTCTCTCCTCGTCTCTCCTCGTCTCTCCTCGTCTCGCCTCGTCTCGCCTCGTCTCGCGTCGTCTCGCGTCGTCTCGCCTCGTCTCGCCTCGTCTCGCCTCGTCTCGCCTCATTAACTTGGAGGTTCGCAAGCCACTCCCGCTTGTGTATGGCCACCTTTAACGAGGGCTCTCGTCTGCGAGATCCCCATGGGCGTGGCCGCCTCGCCTCGCTGCCCAGGAAGTGTCTACGG